TGCATGTCATAGATCAAATACATAAAAAAAAGCTCAGTGCAGTGTTGCTTAGCCTTGATGCAGAGAAGGCGTTTGATAGAGTTAGCTGGCCTTTTCTTTATAAAGTGCTGGAGACATTTGGCTTCAATGATCAAATTATTAGCTGTATTAAAGCTCTTTATGGGGATCCTACAGCCAGGTTGCGGATTAATGGCTCATTGTCTGGCAGCTTTAACCTTAAAAGAGGTACAAGACAAGGCTGTTGTCTTAGTCCTTCCCTCTTTGCATTATTCATTGAGCCATTGGCTCAGGATATTAGACAAAATGATCATTTGGAGGGGATCAACATAGCAACAGAGGAACATAGAATAAGCCTGTTTGCTGACGATATTATCACTTACTTAAAGAACCCAAACATAACTATCCCTAAACTTTTTTCCATTATGGAAAATTTTGGTGAGATGTCAGGATATAAACTCAATATTAAAAAGACACAGGTACTATGTCTGAATTATACACCTAGCAGTAATATGAGGAGTAATTATAAACTTAAATGGGACACAAAATCAATAAAATACTTAGGTGTGAATATCACCCAACATCTAAAAGACCTATATGAGTCAAACTATGGTATTCTAAGTGATCAAATTCAGAAAGATGTAACACGTTGGTCAATGTTGGCCTTAGATTTTAGCACAAGAATAGAGGTGATAAAAATGAATTTGCTGCCTAGATTATTATATGTCTTCCTCTCCCTCCCCATAAGGATCCCAGAAACCCAATTTTCTACATGGAATAAGGTCTTATCTAGATTTATCTGGGCGGGTATTAAACCTAGGGTAAGACTCAGAACACTCCAGTTAGAAAAGGAAAAAGGAGGACTCGCTTTACCTGACCTTAAAAAATACTACTGGGCGGCCCAACTGAGATACGTTGTTTATTGGTGTTCTCCAACATATAGCGCAAAGTGGAAGCAAATCGAATTCAATCTTGGTAAAATACCACCTCCTGCAAAATTGGGGTGTAAAATTTTAACAGATAGTAAAGAGGAGGGAACTATTCTGGGCGAAACTTTGAAAACATGGTATGAGGTCGTTAAGAAAAACAAAATTGAAGGTGATAGTAAATTATTAACATGGCCATCTCAAATGCCCAGTTTTGGCCCCAGTGGGTCAGATGATACATTTATCAGGTGGATGGAGAGGGGAATTACGGCAATATGTACACTCACTGAAGGGAAAATATTTAAATCATTTGAAAAAGTTAAAGAAGAATTCAATCTTGAAAACAGAGACCTATATCGCTACCTACAATTGCGTCACTTTTACGACAAAGAGGTNATTATGCTTTAGGGTGTTTATAGTTTATGCCTGAAAGCATAAATATGACTTTATTCCTCCTGAGTTGCTGAGGTGGAGATTTTAATCAATAATATCTGCTTAGATGAATTCCTAAGAACCTTTTGGATGTAGAAAAAGGAACATTTTTAACTTTAACATTAAAGTTAAAGCACAGTTCTTCTGGTTCAGTAAAGGGCCCTGCAGCAGATAGTGAGGGGAGGGGAAGTCCCCCCCCTTAGTCCAGGATTGGTTTCAGAGCTGCTGAAGAAAAAGGAGCCTAAACATTTTCAGAGACTTTCTGACACGTTAATTTAGTTGCTGATAAGGTGATGCATTTTATTTAATTTATTTAAACCTACTTTCTCTAACACATTATCCAGAAAGATCGGCTGAAGATTCCAGAAAGATGTGTGATGCTGCCAATGAACCACTTAACCAAATGAACCCCCCATTTCCTTCAGACCTAAACAGGCTTTACTGAAGCACTTCTTCTATAGAACATGAACACAGATCTATAGAATTGTTGCCTTTAGTCCGCTCTACGTCACCTTATCATCCAGCTGTTTGTAAAGCTTGGTCAGCTCAGCCTCACACTTGTCCTTCTCTACGTCCGTCAGACGGACACCGGGGACGTTGGGCGTGGAAGCAGACTTCTCATTGATGATGTTATCCAGGGCCAACACCTCGGCGTTGGCCTTCTCTTTGTCGAACTGCTCCTCTACAGGCACGCTCTCTCCTGGCATTGGGTGAAAGAGAATGCTGATTTAAGAGGCCTGGACACGCAGCATTTAGGCCTCAGTCCACGACCCAGAGGGGCTTCCTTCCTCACCGTTTCTCCAGCGGTTCAGTTCGTTCTCCAGCCAGGTGATGGTGTTCCTCAGGGTTTTGTTCTTCTCCTTCTCCCTCTCGTATTTCTGCTTCCACTGCTCTGCTGTCAGCTCGATATTCACCGTCACCGTGTTCTTAATGGTCTTCGCTCTGGATGTTGAAGAAAGAAATGAGAATGAATGAAAGAATGTAACCAAGGAAAAGCATCCTCTCAATGGGAAAGGAAATCATTCTCATTTCAACCGTTGCATATATTAGCTGCGACATATGAATCAAGATGCTATGACCGAAAAAATTTGATTGACAGACGACCGTTGATATATGATTGGCCGTACAAGCTGACGAACTAATTGGCCTGCATAAATTAAGGATTAATGATTTAAAATGTACGGCCAAATCAAAACAGAGATAAATCTTCTCCCACGGCCATCTCAGCTTGGAGAACTAAATCGTATCGAAAACAGGCGGGGTTGGTTGAAGCCAACGGAGCAAACGGAGAGGACCAAGAACTAAGGACCCCGCCCCATAGGAACCTTTAGAGAAAAATAAGTGCTTTCCAAAGAATTAACAGCAGGACTGCTAGTTAGTTGCAGTCGCTGAATAAGAAAGGTACTTGAATGCAACACTTTAATCAGAGTTGTATTGTTCTGTTTCTGCATCCATTCCATCTAAAGTAATAAAACATTTGATTCACTGCAGTTTACACCACAGTGTGCTTCTTTCTTCAGACTTGTACAGAATGTTAATTTGAAGCTTTAGGTCTTGTAAACAAACCGTTTAAAGAAACTTTAGGCCAAACAAAGCTGTTCAAGTTATTGTTCTAGCTCACCTTTGTCCGAACATCAGGGTGGATTTGGTTTCAGCCTCGTTATAGGAGGAAGGTGAGCAGCAGATCACAATGGTGGTTCGACAGTTACCACCCAGTGAGTCCTGCAGGATACGGGTCATCTTGCTGTCACGGTAGGGGATGTAGGCCTGGAAACATGTACAAAGGCTATAAGACGGGGAATGTATTCATGATTTAAGAACTGATTAAGTGGAATAAAAAAAAAAAAACTAGCAGAAACCAAAGTTAAACTGAAAGAGGGTCGGCATTTCCTAAACGTATCCATCCACTTTCCAAAAACACTCCCAGCCATAAAATCAGCTCGAACAGCTTTAGCGAATCTGCTGTCATTTCACAAGTTCTGTAAAACTATCTGCTAGTTAACAGATAACCTGACAGGAGATTAGCTTTGGTAAAAACAGAGAAGCTGCAGCAGTCATTATTTTCCACAGAGCATTTTGGCTCAGTGGAGAAGGAGGCATCTCTGGACAATGGCTAATTTGTTTCAGAGCTTCAGAGATATATCAGTAGCTGTCCGCCGCAGGTTGTTTAAAGAGCGAATGAGCCGCAGAACAAACCTACACTTGATCAAAGTGAAAGGGGTGAAGTTGCAAAGAAAAGCTTAAGCGAGGCGTTGCTTGGAGCAGAGTTTTTATCTCTGCAAAGTTATTTCAACGACACAAAGGACGCGTTTAATGTCTTAAAATGGAAATTCAACACGCAGAACAGGAAGACATGTTGGTTTCTATCATCCAAGCACAAGCTTCAGGCTGTGCAGCTGGCAAACAGTCTGTGCTCCTTTTCTTTTCACTCTTATCAATGGTAATATCTCCTATTAAGACACTAAACATGTAATTTAAATTAAAAAAGAGAAAATCTTCCTGCCTGAGGGTGGAAGAGATTTAAGTTCTCATCATTAGAACAGGCTAGATAATTATACTAAAACAGATAAAGGTTCATTGGGTTATCTAGTAACAGTCGTTAGAGCTGCTGCACATTTAAAACAAAATCTGGGTTCTCTGCCAGACCAAAGCCTTTTAAACCATTTATGGCTGATCAGATTTTCCTTACCCTATTTAGCCAGAAAAATGTTAAGAATTTCTGCAAAATTTAGTTAAAAAAATAAATAAAAGAACCAACAACCTTTCAGTTAAGCAACAGGTTGCAGAGGTTCAGTATTCATCCAAATAAAAACCGATTGTTGATAGTCCAGTTTTCACATTTGTTTTATCTGAGTTAGTGAAAATAATTCGTGTTTTGTAAGCACGACCAAACGGATGGAGAGATTAAAGGTATTGTGGAAGGTTTTCTCAAATATTTCTCCACTTAAAAAAAATTTAAAAAATGCAATTGTGAGAGCATGCATGAGCCCATATCTCCTCGTACACGCCCTGTTTAAAAAAATAAAAAAATCACTCAATCACTATAGAGCAGGGACTATATAATGAACTCAGTCAACTTAAGGGCTGGTTATCCTCCCGCAGCAGTGTGTCGCAGGTATGAAGCAGATATTTTAGATTTATGCCCAATTTTGGTCTGCGCTATATTATTCCACGCCACAACGCAAGAGGGACAATCAGGAACTAGCTGTGGGTCTAGATACCCACAGCTACAGTGGGGGCCACAGTGGGGGCAAGTTTGTGCGACAACTAAGGGTCATGAGGGCGAAAAAGAGCAGGGATCCAGGTGGAAAAAGGGTCCAAGCGTTCTCACGCACCTCGCTCTTTTAGCTGCTCCACCTTCATGAATTGTTTTCCACATTGTTTACTGCGACACACGCAGACGACCTGGTTTCTGAGTATAAATCAGCCTTTACTGTTCGGACAGGAGATCACCTCAACGCACTATGCCTGTGTCGTCTTTGTTATTAGTCGCCACTATCGCGTATCAGCAGCCTATGACGACAGCGGGCCACTGTGACAGCAAATCCCATAATGCTTTGTGAGGAGAGCTCTCTTCGCAAAATATTCTGGGTTATATCTGCCTCTTCTGAAGACTCTTTTCTTTGTAGACACTTTCTCTTACGACCCGACCCTCTGCCATTTTCAAAGAACCGCGGTGAGAAAGGTGAACTGCACTGACTGGCTGAAACCGTAGCTCACCACAGATATAAGCCTGAAAGTCTGCATGTGTAGAAAAAGATGGCTAACAGGACGAACGCGTAGGATGGCCATACGTAAACATTTAACCAGCATGATTGACAATTAGGAGGACCACTTATTGAGATGATCCACTGAGAAATAAAAGATTGTTCTCTATATCTTTAAAGATGGATCGACAAATGCAGACCTGAATAATAACTGGAAATCTTTTATTTTCCTTCGTTTTTCAGACCTGGCACAGAATGTACAACAGAATAAAAAAAAAAAAAAGACAAACTAACCGTTCCTTCAGCCAACGCAGAGATGACGTTTCCCAGAGATGACAGAGACTTGTTGATATTCTTGGCTTCATCCAGCACGGCTCCTTCTGCACCCGTTTTACTAACCTGAAAGCCGTAGAAGACACCAAAAAAATAATAATTATGTCTCAACAACGTATCACAAGCTCTCAAAAAAAAAACAAACAAAAAAAACGTGGAATTGCAGCACAGGTACACTGGAAAAAAACGAAATCTAGAAAAGTTATTTTATTCTTAAAATAACAGCATTTGTTCCTGAATTGAGGACGTAAATGAGACATTTTGCCAACAGAAGAAGACAATTTACATTTAAAATAAGAAAACACAATGACATCGTTTTATTTGAAGTGCTTATTATCTGATTATCTTACTTTAAGAGTAAAAATACTAATTCCATTGGCAAATAGTCTTATTTACCTAATCAAATAAGGGTAAATACACTTAATTTAAAATATATTAACGTATTTCTAGATGTTTTTTTTCCAGTGCATCAGTAATATTCCGGCTACCTTTTCACTACCAGCAAGATCCACCAGGTAGAGTTTTCCACTGAGCTTCTGCTCTGTCTGAGTGTTTTCCTGTTTGACGTTGATCAGGAAGATACTGTGACTCCTGGAGCTGTGCTCGTTCATGTCTGAGGAGAAAAGGATCTTAGCCAAACAGGATCTACAAACAAACCCCTAAAAATGAACAGAACGGGCTGCTGTGAAGCACAGGATTGTCTCTTACTTGTGACTGCGACATGTCTGTTAGATTTGCCTTCATCAATTGTATCCATGACTTCCTCTGGGCTGCACACAAACCTTTCAGTACAGCCCTAAAAAAAAAAAAAGACAAATGGAAGATAAAACATGTTAATTAAAGCTCCTTTAGCTGGTTTTAGCAGATGTTTCATAGGTGAGGGGAGCAGGTCTCACCTTTACGTAGGGTACTCTGTTTTTATCTTCGTGCACTGATAAATTGGTCTTTGACACTGGAAAGAAAATACAAACTCTTAGTTTGTAGCAGAAATAAAGGCCAGATGAAGTCATACTAAAAAAGATTTTAATTGCCCAAAGGCTTTGAGTCAGTGTAGTATATTTAGAGCCTTTCTCAGACCTTTTCCTGGATTACTGTCCTTCATATAAAAGCTAGAAATGATCCAAATGGAAACAGAACTGAACCACAGCTATTGTGAAAATAATAAAAATTCATTTAGCATGCTATGTTTTGAGCCAGAGCCACGTATAAAAATGACCAGTTTAAAAACAGCCCACCTGTTGTTGATGCTGAATACTGGGGATTAAAATAAAGTGCATTTATTGCTCAACATGCACCCTGCAAATGTTCATAAAAATTACTCGATCTGTTCCAACATTTTTTAGGCTCTTGGCGTTTTGTTCTGTCACATCTGCTCTCACCATCTGGAACAATTAATAAAAGGATAAGGGACTCTCAACTCTGCCAATTTAGACACTTACCATCCAAAAGATCTCGGATTTTGTCTAAGTAGATTTCAAAATAGGAAACCTGAAAACAGAGAAAGATCCTGGTTATTTGGTTTGCCAGCAGACAGAATCAACATTGGCTAGGTGATTGTCTTGTTTGTTGATAAAGCAGAAATATGTCAAATTAATCTATATATTACATAGGAAACATCTAAGTCTAGAACAATATAGAAATGAAAGTTCAATATACAGGAAATGTCTTTTATTTCAATTATTTTTAAGAATACTTATAATCTGGAGCTTTTCCCTGCCTTTACATACAACCACTATGATAAACGTATATTCCTGCAACTCACCAACATCAAAACAAAGAGATCCTGAGCCAGGGAATCACTTTCCATCGTTCTACTTCTATTGTCCAAATCTGTAGTATTTGTCAGCTAACTTTATGTTTGCTCTTCTTTTTCTCATCATAGTAGCTTCATCTGGTCTGGTTCCATCATAGAAGGAAATACCAGCTGAACTTCTGCTACCAACATCTTTACAGGTAATAGGGTTGGGCCTTTTTTCAGTGTTTAGTTCTGTTTCTCTTATTGATATGGGCTCAGCTTTTACTGACTGACTGTACAGTATGTACTCTCTTCCATTATTTACAGGAAAACTGGCTCAGAGCTCGTCTGTTTAACTTTTCTTTCCTAGACAGAGCCCCCTACGGCGCTAGGTTACAGTTACCGTCACTAACATAGAAAGTGATTATAGATCAGTGCTTCTATGTTCCTTTTCTATGTCTGCTTCCATCTCCTTGAACTCCAGTCTGCCTCTGCAGATGGCTGCTTACACTGAGCCTGGTTCTGCTAGAGGTTTCTTCCTGTTAAAAGGAAGTTTTCCTCCCCACAGTCGCTGCATGCTCAGGATTGCTGTGAAGTCACTGACTTGAGGCAATCAGCTGTTTTTTTAACCAATCTGACTATGATCTGAATTAATTGTTGATGTCCTTAAGATGATGTGTGTTTTGAATTGCTGCAATATGAATGAATTGAGTTGAATTGTGAAGTGGAAGATAAAAGGAAAATATTACACATTTATATAGTTTTTAATTCATATTTAGTCTCTCTAAGCTAAAAATTCACAGCAATTATAGTTGAAAAGTCTGGCATGTCTGCTGTTCTTTGTAAATTAGCTCCAGCTTAGTCAGACTGAATAGAGAGCAGCTATGAAAATTAATTTTCCAGACTTGGCACAGAACGTCAGCTAAAGTTAGTCCTGGATTTTTCATGCACTGTTTTTCCTTGCAACGTGAAATTCACAGTTTCTGAGTCATGAATTTTAACATCAATACTCCAGACAGTCAGAACTACAAGTCAGAGTTCAGGTGTGTGTAGCAGGGCGGTACTGGACTTCAGCATTCAATATGGATGCTACTCTCATCAACAGGGGTTAAACGTCCTACTTTGGCCATTTGTAAAAGCTCTTTATTATTATTATTACATCATTATGCATTTCACATTAGGCAGTCGATAAGGTACTACTTGTGTTTATAGGGACATATGTTTCAATGCCATGTATAGTTTTTGTCATTGTTCATGCTTTATACAGGAATGAGTAACTGTAATTGAATGCTTATTAATGCTCTTAGAAATAATTATATATATATATATATATATATTTATATATTAGGGGTGGAACGGTTCACAAAATCCACGGTTCGGTTCGATTCACGGTTTCGTGGTCACAGTTTTCGGTTCGGTTTCTGTATATGTTGATTGTTACACCGAAATCCCATAAAAATTTATGAAATTAATGAAAAAATCCCCCAAAAAATAATGGATTGTAATTATTTTAAATGATCCGCGGAAACCCTGGATCATTTCCGTATGTCTTGCTGCTTTGAATTTAATCATCTGGCGCATGCTCTCTCCCTCCAAGGGACTCAGAGGGGACCGGACAGGAGCCACAGCGGAGGCTGTAAACTTTGCTTTGTGCAGGCGGTCTGGAGCGCAGCGGAGCAGAGCGCTGACGGAGTATGTGGGATTTCGGGGTTAGCATGACATGTTGGTCTTGTTGCTGTTAGCATAAACAAAACGTGTTGCACAATGCTTGCACACTGTTGCACTTTTATCCACAACTTTCTTTCCGCCGTCATCGTAGGTCACTCTAAATGCAAAGCGGTCCCATGCAGCAGACCTATAAAGTGCTGCTGGCGCGTCTTCCAACTCCTGTTCTTTCCCACTCGCCATACCCACACAATTCTCCACAACAACTGATTTTTTTCTGCTACACCCGGCTACGCTGCTTCCCTTTTTCTTCTTCTTGTTTACTACTGGTGGCTGGCTTTGGTCGCAGTACCGCCACCTTCTGCTCTGGAGTGTAAACGCTTCGCCTATGAGAAAAAGGAGCAGCGCATGAACCGAACGAAACACACACGAATCAAACCGAGACAGTCGAACCAAACGGTTCGGACAGTTTTCATAAATCGTCCCATCCCTAATATGTATATATATCACAGCAAAATCCTTTGTCATCTTTACCATCGACAGGCTGCAGCCATGTCCCAAATTCCTCATTTTTCAGCCACTTTTGTTGAAAATTAGCATTTTTCCATTCTCTTGCTTCCTTTATGAATATACAGGATTACGATCAACCCGAAGCAGTTGCGCACAAACACACGAATTAGTAATCAGATTTATCAGATTAATTATATCTGATAGAATATATATGACAAAATTGTTTTTATAAAAAGTGCCACGATAATCACATGTAATGAATTTTAATGCCAATTCATTTTTTTTTGGACTTTTAATGATTTCTAATGACCCCTTGAAACCCTGTTGTTATGGCTGAAACAATATCAGGACTGGCTAAGGAGAATAGAAGGTTCAAGAAGCTAAACAGTGGAACGTATTTAGTTCTGAGGAAAATGGAACGTACCATTAAACAGAACCGAAACAACAATATTCTCAAATCTCTCTCTTTATTTTCAATCATCGTATTCTGGAAGGTAAACCTCTTCTACAGTCAAATATTGTATAGCTTCCAACAGGTTTTCTTCCATCATGACCCTTAACTAATCTCCATCTATTTTCCACTGAGAAGCTACTCTGGCCCTGCTGAAGAGCATTCCTATTGCAGGATGTTGCTACTGCCACCATGTTGCTAAATTGAGATGGAGTTATCAGATTTGAAGTCAATTGCTTTTGGTCTCATCATTTACTGTGCCTACATGGCTTGTGGCAAACCGTGAAAAAATCCCTTTCCCTGTACCTTGCAATTAAGTGTCACTTTCTGTTGGTCCACCACATAATTACCTAAAAATAACAAAATGGAACGAGTTTGTAATGCCGGCAAATTTGGAAAGGTTAAGTCAGAGTGAAAACTCCAATAGAGGAACACTGTATGAGACACTGTGAGCTGCAAGACAAAAAAAGATGCATAAATCTAAGATGAGGCACACAGGAAACACGACGCAGCAGTACCAGGCTGCATGTTGCTCCTCAACCCTCATCTCATAGGATAAACAAAAGCCACCACATTTACAAAACCTACTTTCTATTTAAAATGAGTGTATCATAATAGTTAAAACTCCCCATTTCTGAAGTGCAAATAAAACATCAAACAGTATACTCCCTTTACGTACTTTAATATGAAACTCCAGGTTTTCATCCATGGAATAGATGTAGTTGAAGATATCCTGTACTATCCTGGGGATGATGCCCATTGCATCTGTGTCATGAAGATTCCCCTAAAAAACAGAAAGTAAAGCAAATTAACAGAAAAAAAAACTGAAATGTGATGCCCTGGAAGTATTACAGGAAAGCCATCCTTACCTCCATGGTGTGTGTTTTACCAGATGACGTCTGACCGTAGGCGAAAATTGTTCCGTTGTATCCCTCGAGAACATCTAGCAGAAACGTACACAAAAGGAAAAGCGTGAAGCGACAATGCAAACAACACAAAGAGAGACTTAAGCTGAGGTATTGATTAAAAAGTAGAGCTTACCTTTTACAATCTTTTGGGCACAAGCGTTGTAGACCTGTTCTTGTGTTGTACTTGACTGAAACACTCTGTCAAACATGTAGGGTTTACCCTGGAATAAAAAGGAAATACTATGAGCCACAAATGTAACTCAGGAAAATGACAATTATGTGTCTTTCCAATGTAACTGATTATATCCTAATTTAAAAATTGAAAATATTTGACAGAGACCCTATGAGATTTAATGATGGATTTATTTACTAAAAATGCAATCTATTCTTTCTCCTGACTATCTTTTTATTTATTTAGTGTCACCACGAGATACATCCTACCGATACCCTATAGATTTCTGTGGGAAGCAGCGCTTTACACCTACTCACCAACTTTGCTCTCAGGGTTGCCTCAACACTATTATAGGGTTTACCTTTACAACTTTAACACAGGACCATCGTCAAGCCTTGGTGTGTCCAATAGACGAGTCTAAAACAGCGCTTTGTTGTGTTTTAAAAGGGAATAGTTGGAAATGAAATAGTCTGTGATTCATAAATTAATTTTAAGGTTTATAAATGTATAAAGATTGAACACTTCCCTTTTTTTGTGTCCAACATAAAAAAAAATCCTAAATGTTTGGTCTATTGGCAAGTTTGGCAACATTAACTAAGTTATGTTGACTAATTCATAAATTAACTAATTCATAAATGAATTTTAAGGTTTATAAATGTATAAAGATTGAACACTTCCCTTTTTTTTCTGTCCAACATAAAAACAAATCCTAAATGTTTGGTCTATTGACAAGTTTGGCAACATTAACTAAGATATTTCATTTAAAAATTTTGATATATCCAGGATGGTGTAATACACGAAGTTGGAGCCATTAATCTTTATTTATTTATTTTTTTGCTAAAAATTATCTCTGATAATTAAACCAGAGAAACCTAAAGCGCTCATGAGCTTTCAGCAGCAATTTAGGATCCAAATACTTCAATCGAGCACAGTTTAGCAAACGTTGGCAAGCTGTGAGCCAATCAAAACTTCACGGCCCGATTCCAGCGACATAGCGATCAATAGCTGCATTTAAGATGGAAAGTGAAAGGCAATAAATCTGATGTTACAAGCAATTCTGAGGCTTGCTTTAGACGGCATCCTGTATTTAGGGGGTTTGTGATCCCAGTTGACTCATCTGATCTGTGGCTGTAAGGGGTGGGGCTGTGGGATTGATGCACAACAACTTAGAGAAGATTTACCAATATCCAAGGTAGCAAAAAGAAGGCGACCACTCCATGGGAAGTTAGTAAAAAAACTGATTACTGCTGACTGATTTATAAGTAATAACACTAATCATTATACAAATAAGCCGTCGTTTTTTTTAACTGGCAGTGTAAAGTGGTCCCTTAAACATGGGTTACAAAAGAAATAACTTTGCTATAAAAACCTTTCTGCTCCTGATTAAAATAAAGCAATTCAAAAAGTACTGCAGATAGAACAACTAGATAACAAAGCTAATCATATCATATTTTTCTTACATTTTATGTGCTAGAATATAATTGCAAACGGTAACAATAAGCAGACAGTCACCGTAACCATGACAGTTAAAGTGAAATTATCTTTTAGTGCTCGCAGGTCAGGGGATCACAGCACATTCCTGATTTAAGTTTAAATCTAGAAAAGCACTCAGAAAGCTCCGAGCTCCTTAAAGTAGCTAATTTTCCCTGACATATTGTGACTTCCAGCTTAATATCTATATTGGCAAAATCTTTCAAAAACATTCCTAGATCTAGGTGGCGATCCTGATCACCACCAAAATGTAATCATTTGTTGCCAGTTATCAACACGCACCTTCCCTGAAAACGTCAGTAAAATCTGCCCATAACTTTTCTAGGTATATTGGAAACAGACAGACAAACCGTGATTAAAACATAACCTCATTGGCAGAGGTAAAGGAAAAAGACATCCGTCATGACTTTGCATTATTTCCTTCGTCTTTAGGTGCAGCTCTGAGTATAAGGCCGTGCGGCGTCTTTAAAACCACCTGTAATTCCCTGCAGAGGACTTCATGTTTGTCATTAACCAGCCTATAAACGAAGCAATGCGCAGATATCCACAATGACAAAAGGTCTGGAGCAAACAACAGGAGTCTTAACGTCCTCATTGTCACTGCAGCTACTGGCCTCATTACTTACACTTCTCTCTAATTGGATTACTGACTAAAATTGCAATTACACTGTAATGTATTGTTGGAGTGTGCAGAAGCGCTTGTTCGCACTCCTCCGCCTCCCAATGGCTCTGTTGTGATACAACTAAAAAAGGACAGCCAGACTAAGGTTATTTCGAACATCCTGGTATGAAGCATGAAACTGGAGGGTAAACTATCACCTAATTTTTTTCCTGTTGCTCATACAGAAACATTAAATTTTTATTCAGGGTTTATACAGGAATGAGTAACTCTAATTAAATGCTTTTTAATTCTCTTAGAATTAATTTTAATGCCATCAACAAGTACCCATGACTCCCAATTATATATATATATATACTTTTGTTGAAATTAGCATTTTCCTATTGTCTAGCTTTTTCTCCGCCTTGAGCTTCTTTTCCGAACATACAGCTTTACAATCAACCGGAAGCAGTTCAGTGCAAAAATATCGCAATATAATATATCTGATGAAATTGTTTATATAAACTATTTTTTTAATAAAGCATTTTAAATGCCACGATAATCACATTTAATGAATTTTAATGCCAAATAAGACCTTAAAAAAATTATAATTCAATGACTTAATGTTTTTTAATGAACCATGGAAACCCTGTTATTGGTGCATCCTACATGTTTAAAGAAGGTAGGCACAATTTCACTGATCCCTGCAACGTTTCTATCTCCATTGCATCTTCAAAAACTAGCTCATTTCAGTTTAAAAGGGCTTCCATTAGTTCCTGAGTGAAATGGGAAAATATGAAATAACAATCTAGGCCTATAGGCGAATGAAGAAGCAGCAGCTGCAGAAGTAACTCACCTACATGTTTCCCCTTTCAGTTGCCAAACCAGCTTGGCAAATATACCTTATTATACCAAAACAACCTCATCTACTAAATTTGTGTTTTTGCTTCTCAAGCAAAAAACACTGAGTTATGGTGTGCAACAGAAATATTCACTTAGACACAAGTGACACATGTGGCACATGTGGAGAATCTGAAAACAGATCACCAGATGACAAAAGCCTGAAACAGAAGCCATTTGTGAGAAAGCCTGGTACTTCCTGTCCACATCCTTAGATCTCTAAATGAATACAAAACAAGCTAAGTGACTATCAGACCCTTACATAGGGATAAACAATATATCATAATAATAGTTACCCTCCCCACCCCGAGAGATTGCCCAGTGCCCAGCCAACAGCCTGCCCTGATTGGTCCAACAGCTGGTAACCAGGAGAGAAGACAGGGAGATTACCCAGGAGGCCTGGAGTAATGCTGCTGCTACCTACATCAGAGGCAACAGGCTGCTGCTTTGCAACACTCTCGCATCTCACACAATGTGCACTGGTATTCTAGCAGCATGACTGGCACTCTGTACTGGGCAGGGCTACGCCACGCCTTAGGGGCAATGAAAGCTAAAGGCCTGAAGCCAGAGTCAGCAAGGCTACAGAGGAAGTCGCTGCAGTTCCAACAGGCTCCTTTGTTTTGCATGAAACAAATGAATAGCTCTGTTGTATTTAACATATTAATTTTAAATAAAGTAGGAATAGGAGGGAGAGCTCAACAGCCCACACAGGCAAACCTGAGAGCGTCTCTGAAGAAAGGTTGCCAAGGCCTTGTTAACTCTGTAAAATTATCTGAGATTAGCACAACACCATCTCAAAGTCCACAAGGCAATGACAGCTTCTGACAAACTAATATTTAACCATGTTGTTAGGGCATATCATCAGCTTTTATAAGTCAGTGGAGCACGTGAAACATTCTTTTTAACCAAAGGAAACAGCAAAGAGGAGGATGAGTGAACCCATAAAGCAATAACAAGTAAGTTCAACTCAGCCATGCAGATATGGAATGATGCAAAGAGCTAAGTCTGCAGGTTTTAGGCCAATAAGAATAAAGTTTCCTCTTTACACTATCCTGTTGTTTGATTCAGTTAAGTGCTGGTAATTAGACACAGTGAGGCATTTCCTTTCTCTTAGTAGAAATGGTGACCTCGCCTTATATTTGCAAGACTTGATGACGGTCGAAATCACCAGAAACCTAATGGTTGTAATGACAGCACCCAGCTGATTGATTCCTAACTAAACGACATGAAAGCAACATATATATATTATAAGGCTAAACTAAAAATGCATCCAAATCAAACCCTAAACACAATTTCAGGGAAACCAAAATCCAAACTGGACATCTTGGATGTGATATTTGGATTTCTATGACATGCATTAAAGAGGATGCATAGTTATCTACTGCTAGTTCATAATTTTTGGCTACCTGGATGGACGCTATTGGGTCAAGACAATTTTTAAATCCTTGTGACCTAGGTCATTAAGCTCAGGTGGGGTGGTGGAGACATTATCATGATATAAAAGGAAAGGGTTGAGTTAGGATGATGTTGGTTAACCACAATCCATACTTTTGCTGTCATATTTATAAATAATAAGGATGTAATGCTTTTCAAATGCTTTTGCTGTACTCAACATGCTTTTCACTACACTCTTAATAAAAGCCTATTTTAATTGAAATCTAATGTTTTTTTTCTTGCCCTTATGAGAAAGCTTTTAATTAGAGTTTATTCTGCGAAGTTGTGGTAAAGGCTAAGGCTTGTGACAACCTCCCACAAGCAGCAGTTTTTATCGTCCACTTTCAGTTTGTGCATTACTTGCATATTTTACATAGTCTCAGTCTCTTGTTTTTCTTTCCTTACCTATAGAAAGAACTCCATGGCCAGTTTTTCTAATCTCTCACATCTCTGTAAATGTTTCAATGCTTGTTTATTTTGATATTCATTTAAAATGTATCAAATTAGAGATGCCTGAGTATCGAGTATGTAGTTTAGAAATGTCCTATCCATCAGAAATTGATCAGAATCAGCATGCTTCCATTGATCTTTATGTAAATTACTGCAAGCTTGTTTTTTTTTTTTAAATGGACTGACTTTGGATCAAAAATGCAACCCGCCCACTTTTAATCATGCCTATAACATTTTTTTTTCTTCGATGACCATAAAAAAGATTCAATGCGATTGTTCTAAAAGCATACATTGTGAACTATTTGATTTTATATTTTGTTATAACTCCCTCTATTAGAGACCATTTAAAATAATGGTTCTCAATTACACATTTAAGCCATTAGGGAGGGGAAAAAATAATCAACTTGCAAATATGGAAAAATCAATTAGATATGGGTCAGGAACGCCTTGATAAGGAGTCTCTGATAATGAAATATCCTTGGATGGAATTGAACTGTTAATTATTGCATTTTAACTTACAAGTTAGAACAAATTTGAAGTCAGACATTTTAAATGTACTTAGTTATGAGTTTTTTTAGCACTTCTTAGCGCCTTGAAATGTATGGAAGAGGATTAGGGCAACTGAAAAAAATGAAAAGGTTAACTGATTTTAACATTTTATTTCAGTATAATATGAGAAAAAGTCAGAATTTTGACTTTATTCTCAGAATTCCGACTTTTTACTCAGAATTTTGACAGCTAACAAACATATTAGCATCAAGCTGTAGCCATGTCTGTTTAAGAGACTAAACTATCTCTCTGGTTTTAACCACCTTCTGTTTTTCCATTAATTAAATAGCATCACAGGGGACCCCTTGGGACCTAAAAAGTCCCCTAATTTTCCACCAATGTGTTATTGGCCCTCTCAAACAACTGACATCTTTGCCAGTGAAGCTGAGTGCTCCCACATCTCTTCCTTCATGATGCCCATCTACATTAAGATCCAAAATTCTGAGATTTAAGTCAGAATTCTGAGAAAAAAATAAAAATTCTGAGAAAAATACTCAAACTTCTGAGATTTAAGTCAGAATTCTGAGAAGAAAGTAAACATTCTGAGGAAACAAGTCAAAATTCTAAGAAAAATACTCAAAATTCTGAGATTAAAGTCAAAATTCTGACTTTCCCCCCCCATATTAAACTGAAATAATATGTAATAATCAGTCTTTTTTTTCCCAGTGGCCCCAATCTTCTTCCGTAGAAATGATAAAAACGAATAATTGTTTTGTAAAATATGCTAAACCTTTATCATTTTTAATTCCTAACATTATCTCCAATTCTATTATATTGTCTTTGAGGACAGCAAACCTTTCTGTAATAGCCAGACTTCCTCCAACAGGGTTTATAGGAGGGTCCGCTACGTGTCCAGCTGACCATGTTAGCTTTAATTAAGCTA